TGTAATACGTAAAGAATATCTGTACTTGTACATTTTCCTTTCTTTTTTCCTTTTATATATATATATATATATATATATATATATATATATATATATATATATGTATATATATATATTTTATATATATATATATTTTTTTTTTTTTAATAAATTTCAATATATACGGTTGATTAATAAGATATATGTTTCGTTGGTTAATAAGCTATGTTAAAATTTTTAATATTTTAAATGCAAATAATAAAACAACGATAATAACTAAATAAGTAAAAATAGGTATATAGTATTGAGTTGATCAATAATTTTTTTTTTTGCTAAGAATTCCACGTAAAAAGTGATAAACATAGTATTGGTTATTTGAATATATAAAATAAGATATTTAATAAGTAATCGATATTTCTTTACACTCTGTCACTAATTAATATACTTATATAAAATCAATAATTTAAATATTAAGTTTCTATTAACAAAATACTTTATATACATATATTATATGTATAAATGTAAAAAAAGAGAAATACTCTCCTAATATTAAAACTGATTAATAAATTATTAATGCAACCTTCTATTTATATTAATATTAATTATTAATTATTTTTCTACATAAATATAAATATTAATATCAATATAAATATCAATATATATATATATATATATATATATATATATATATGGGTATAAGTAAATATATAAAAATAAGTAATAGTAGAGCGTAAAAAAATTAATCAGATTTGTAAACATCCTTTTTATACCTTTCGGAACGTATTATGGATATAACTTAGTATAATAATTTTAATATTACAATGAATATTAAGATAATTATTTTATATGTAAGATTATATAAATAATATATGTATATATACATATATATAATCTATATTATCTATATAATCCGTTTAATATTATCAACAGCAAAAAGTGAAAGAGAGAGAGAGAGAGAGAGAGAGAGAGAGAGAGAGAGAGAGAAAGAGAGGTAAAGAGAGTTTGTTTTTAATTCTAGTTCGCGTAACATACACACTTCCCTTAGTTCAACAGTAGAACGATCTGTTCGATAAAAGGTCGTATCGCGAATCGAGAGAAGCGACAGTGTAAAGCGTTAGAACCAATAGAAGACACACGGTGTCGAGCACGTCGCGTGACTTTCATACGTCTCATGGAATAAAAGCTTAGATAAACGTTAGTCTACTTTCTATCCCCTTCGTGTCGAGATAATATTCAAATTTTTGACAGATCTGACAAGAGTCATAAATTACTAAAAGAAGAAACAAAAAGAAAGGAAAAAAGAAAATTGAAAATAGAAAGAAAAAGAAAATAAAAAAGAGATTTTGACGATCTCAAAATTCACTTTTTTTTTTTATGAACTTATTTCAACATTTGAAATACTTTATAATGTAATAAATTAATTTTATCAGAGATCGATGATCCTATCGTTGACGAATATCGTTTGAATAAATAAATAATAAGGAAAATGAAATAAAAGAATAAAAAGAAATAAAATAAAGATAAAAAAAATAAAAGAAATAATATAAAAAAATAAAAAAAGTCATAAGGAAAAAAGTATTTACGTAAAAAAAATAATAATCGTAATAATAAATAATAGTAAAAATAATAAATAGTGAAATAAATACTAGCAGAAAATAAATAGCCAAGAACAAACGAAAAAATAACAAATATATATCTAAATTATTGACATTAAAAAAAGAAATGCGAATATTTCATATTCCTATAGTCGGTTAAATGCACTTAATTACTTATTTACGTAAATAAATAACTAAAATATATTATTAATAAATAAAAAAAAAATATATATATATATAAGCCATTGATTTTGAAAGCGGAGCGAGTCTATTTTTTCTTTTTTATAAATAAAATAAAAGTAAATTTTATGTTAATTTGTGATAAGAATTAGATTTATCTATTTTTCTCACAAAATGAACTTGCCCTACTTTCAAAATCAACGGCTCAATTATATATATTATTTATTCATTTAATTAAAAACTTAATATTAGATTCTTAGAAACTGTTGTAAATTATTCTAGTTTAATTTGACTAGAATCAATCTTATATCAATCTATGATATGGAAAAAAATTATTATTTTCTTTTCCTACAAAATGTCGATCTTAACAACACTCGCCTCGACCTCGACAACGGAATAGTTTCACCTTTGCAACGATGGAATAATATGACGATGGTATATGCACGATATACGTTTATCAAGTTCAAGAGGGCGGGATTTACATAGTGTAATATTCATATTACAGTGATTCTAATGAATGTGAATACGAAACAATTGATCAAAAAATATAATCTCATGTAAATAAAACGCGATTGTACGATTTATGATAATATAAAGGAAAGAAAAAAGAAAAAGAAAATATAAAAATTTTCAATTTTCGAATTTGATTAAATTTTTTATTTTTTTTTTTCTGAATCTACCATAAATAGAAAAGATTTTCGAATTTAACTAGAATTGTTCTTTTCTTTCTTCTTTTTTTTTCGTCGGATACACGTTATTCCAAAGTTATATATATATATAAAACATATTAATGTTTGTATAAAATTTTATAATAGAAAATTATGACAAAAATTTTTGTTCTTTTTCTTCTTTTTCTTTTTTTAATATTTATTCTTCATAGCTAGTATATTAGATTTTGTCATTTTTTTTTTTTTTTTTTAATGTACGTGATTGTGAAATTATTATGATTTATTATATAGTATTAATGTTTCTATAAAATTCTATGAAAAATATTATTCTAATAATTTTCATTTTCATAATATTTTCATTTTTATTTTATATAATATAGCTATATGTATGCTATATGTATCTATATTTTTTGTTTATTTAAATATAATTGTGAAATTGCAATTTATTAATGATTATTATACGTTTTCGTGAAAATAATTATGACAATTATTTTTACTATAAAATTCACATAATAATCAGTAATATATTATAATGTTTGTTCTTTTTTAAACCCATGCGATTGCGAAAAATTGCAACATATTAATGTTTTTATAATGTCAAATTTTTGTATTAAATCAATTTTTATTAAATTTTACTAAACACGTTATAGTTTTATAAAGCCAAAAAAAAAAAAAAAAAAAAAAGAAAAAAAGAAAAGAAAGAAGAAACAAAAAAAAGAACAGAGGAGAAAATAAAATGTCATAATAATTTCTAATAGGCATGATATTCTTCTTTTCTAAATTTTTAAAGAATAAAGTAACAAATCCTGAATCAAACTGATAACTTACAGTGGAACGATTCGAGACGAGATTCTTCGAAATACTTAGAGACATCGTAAATGTCCGATATCGATCGTCATTAATCTTTTAAATCCAAGGTAGCTATTACCTTGTCGATTTTTGGAAGAAAAGTAGACAGCGTGGGATTATCCTGTCGTTCACTCTTATATTTATATACGAACTAACTTAACGAGCTTTTCTACAATTTATTACATTTATAATGATGTATGTAATCCCGAATGAAAACTTGGCATCGTATGTACCCGAAAATTCGCACAAATCTTCTTGGCGAGCAATCATACGTTTATTTTTAAAGATGACAATATTTTTTTAGGTGTTGTTTTACTACGTGATATTTTCAAAAAAAAAAAAAAAAAAAAAAAAAAAAAAAAAAAAAAAAAAAAAAAAAAAAAAAAACAGAAAAAAAAGATAATGTATAAAAAAAAAAGTAAAGCTGCGCACATAAAAAAATAATAAAAATATTTTTGTCGTTTTTAGTCAATTCGTACATTAAAGTTATTAAATAAATTATATATATATATATAATTTATTTAATAATTTATTAGATTGTATTATTAGAAAATATATGTTTTATAGGGTAAGTATTAAATATTCTTTTTTTGAATAAATAGTATATCGAAGTTATTAAATAAATTATATATGTATCGCATAATGTTAATTAAGTAAATTATAATATATTTTATATATATATATATATATATATATATATTTATATATAATTTATTTAATAATTCCAGTATACTCTTTCTCTCTCTCGCTCGCTCGCTCTCTCTTTTCAAATTATCGTACGTACTTTCCAGCCTAATTTGATTCGCAAATGCAATCAGAAGATGTCTCGATTTGAATTTTGTGATTTATTCAAGTAGTTGGATGAAATAAAAAAAAAAAAAAAGAAATGTCATTTACAAACACGAAGTGCGAAGATAAATTCTCGCGGTATTTTAAATCAAGTAAATTGAATCTTGCTCCTTACCAATTAATTTCGATGGATCCGGAAAGTGGAAATAAAAAATAATTAGGATAAATAGAAAAATAATTAATCTGATTCATGATAAGTGCGTTAAATGAAAATATAAGAAAATAGAAAATTTTCACGATTTTCATTCAATTCGTTTCAATCAAAATAATTTTTAACATATACATGCACATGTGATATATACATATATACATATATATCCTCTGTGTATATACATTTATATGTATACATATTATACATACATTTGTACTTAACTCACGGATGTTGATGTCGAACGCACGTGCGTTTCCATTTACATTAAATTTGTCACGTACTCATGTTAATTATTTAACATTACAAACATCATATATGAGAACCCTTGGACTTTCGAGAATTATTTATAACGATACTATCGTTGAAAAATCATTTTGAAGAATTATTTTATATAATATTTAATAATATTTAATAATATTTAAATAAATTTATAATATTTAACTAAAAAATTTTAAAATCCATAAACATAATAAAAATGTTTAAGGAACAAATACATATATATATATATATATATTTTCCATATATATATGTATATGTATATGTATATATATATATATATATATATATATATATATATATACCTGTACATATAGATATGTTTATATATATGTTTATATATATGTTTATATATATGTTTACATGTCTACATCTTTGAACATTTAAATTGTCATACACTCACACTTTCACACACACACACACACACATATACTTTTATATGTATATGTATACCTTCGGAAATAAAAAATAAAATCATTTTCTTTCTTCACAGATAAATAAAAAATGATTCGTTTGATCGAATCGAATGATCGATTTACGTTCGAGAGATGCAAAAAGTGGAAAGAAAAGATACTTGTTAGAAGTTTTGTTGTTAACTCGCAATAATTTTTATAATTCTTCTTCTTTTCTTTTCTTTTCTTTTTTTAAACAAAGAAAATAAAACGAAACTCGTATCGTCGCGTGACAGATTGTATGCTACGTTTACGGACGACGCCGGTAGACTGAGCGTCGCGACGTGTTACGGCGCCACGTTACCCTCTCTCTCTCTCTCTCTCTTTCTCTCTCTCTCTTTCTCTCCCTCTTCTCTCTCTCTCTCTTTCTCTCCCTCTCTTTCTCTCTCTCTCCTTCTTTGTCTCTCTGTCTCTCTATTCTCTAGCTTTTTCCCTCTCACACAAAATGTTTCCTTTTCCGTTTTTTTCACTTCTTTTCTTATTCCTTTCATTCTGTTTTTTTTTTCTTTCCTTTCTTTCATGCCATTATTTCTTTTGTTTTCGTCCACTTATTGTCTTCTTTACTTGTTTATTTTTATTATTGAATTAAAGAAAATTGATAAATTAAGATAAACGAGATAATAAACGATTATCTTATATCAAGACTGATTCAATATTTCGTAAATGTATGAATGAACAATTTTTATAGGATTTTGATTTTTACAAATGAAAATTTCTATACAATTCGATTTGTCAGTGAAAAAATAATCACAAGTTTTTGAAAATAAAACAAAAGAAAAAAATAAATAAATAAACTTAAGATAGTGTATATTATCCTATATCCAGTTTAATTTGATATATTACGTGAATATACAATTAGTTTTTCTAGATTGCACTTTTTATTAAAAAAAAAACAAAAAAAAAAGTAGAGAGAAAAAAACAAATCGTATGAAATTGAAGAGACGGCAGAGTTTAGTTGCAAGTTCGTGAAAAAAAAAATACAAGAAAATAAATAGATAAATAAATTAGATGGCAGAGTGTAGCTACAAGTTGTTGAAAAAAAGATAAATAAATAAATAAATAGATAAAGAAAAGAAAGATAATATAGTTCATTCTGTATCGAATTTGATTTTATATTTTGAGAATACACAACTAATTTTTCTGAATTACGTTTTTTATTGAAAAAAAAAAAAAAAAAAAAAACAAAAGAAAGTAATAAATAAAAAGATAAGAAAAAATAGTATAAAATTAAACAGATGTCAGAGTTCAGCTGCAAGAAGTTTCCAAAAAAAAAAAAAAATATATGGAAAATAAAGTCTAAAAGTCTCTAATCGAAGATAAATTTTAGTTGCAATTTATAAAAAACAAAAAAAAAAAAAGAAGATCGATAATATGAATTATTATTTTTTATAATTTTATTTTTCTATCTAGTACATGGATACTAAAAAAAATTCCTTTAAATTGATCATCTATATCTATATCTATATATATATATATATATATATATATATATATATATATAGAAAAATAAAATTATAAAAAATAATAATATATAATAAATAATAATATATAATATATATATATACAAAAGAAAAGAAAAAATTAAATAGAAAAAAGAAAAGAGAAAAAGAAAATCATGTGAAATATATTCAAGGATAGAGTATGCTGAATAATTATTTCTGATTAATACAAGAAATTACGAGTTAGGGCGTAACAACATTATTATTAATGTATTATTATCTAACTATATAATTCATGTTTGATAATTTCAATAGGATAAGATATATTTATATTATGATGAGAGATACGGAGTTACTACTTTCCTCAGTAATAATATCATCCCTCATAATACATAAATCTATACAACAATGATATACAATTGATGGATAGAGAATATTTTAATTCTATCTTTTCCAAGGACAAGATGAAATGAAAAAATTTCGTTGAGCGAGAAAATGATGAATAATTTTCGTTTCAAAAGACTTAGGAATAAAAGAGAGAGAGAGAGAAAGAGAAAAAGAGAAAGAGAAAGAGAAAAAGAGAGAGAGAGAGAGAGAGAGAGGGAGAGACAAAGATCGAGAAGAGAAAGAGAGAGAGACAAAGATCGAGAAGAGAGAGAGAGAGAGAGAGAGAGAGAGAGAGAAAGAATAATCGCCATTATGGAAAATATTCGAAAGATATGAGATAGATGTGATTATTATATAATACGATGCACATAACATGCATGCACAATTACATCGTAAATTCAACGTGTAATATCGCCATCATTATTTCTTTCTCAAGGTACGATTCTCATAACTCTTTCTAATCATTTTTTTTTCATCTCGATATCACAAAATATAATTTTCAATTTACGATGATAAAAAAAAAAAAAAAGAAGTTTTCCAATTTTCACGAAATATAACATTTTTATAAGATCCCATTAATCGAGATATAGCTCGATTATTAAATTCACATCCATATTAAATTAATTCGTTGTACGTTAGTTAATTGTTGCTCGTTTTATATATATATATATATATATATATATATATATATATATAGCCAGATCCATAACGAATTATTCTCTATTCTTTAATGAGTACCTTGTCCTTCTTTCTTTTTTTTTTTTCTTTTTTTTAATAGTAATTGCACAGAAACGAATTGTCTCTCACATGGTATCTACATTAATTCGATGAAATCGAGAACAGAAGAAAAAAAAGAAATATGATATTATAATTTTCTATCTATTTGATAGATTATATTTCCATGAAGTTCTTTTATCATTTGTTAATCATTATTCTAAATAATTATTACATATATAATAATTATTGAAATGATAACGTGTAAATGCTTAACGATGATCCTTTATTATTATTCTTTTCTTATTCTCTTTCTTTTATTTTACTCTTGAATTTTTATCTATTAGTATTAATATTTATCAAGATGTAAAATAATTATCTATAAATAAATAATCTTTGTTTTCATTGTTTTTTTCGTTAAATTTTTACATCATACTGATATTTATAAAAATATAATTATTATATACTTACATATATATATATATATATATATACATATATATAGATAGATAGATAAATAGATAGATATATTTAATTGCAATTTCGTACAATTTTATTTATTTTAAATTATTTCATTACATAATAACATATGTCCTTCGTTCTGACTGATTTAGTGAGATACTAGGAGATTTAAAATAGAGCAAAAAGAGAGGGGATAGGACAAGGATTTGTCAGGAAGGATTTTCGAAGCGCATCGAACGATTAAAGAGAGTAGCAGTCTACTCGACGCGCCGCGCCGGCCGCCATTCGACCGATCGATTCGGTACGGTACACAATAACGAGCGACCTTCAAGTTCACGAACAACCCATTCGATGTCGCCCGACTCTCAGTACGATTCTACTTTTTATCTCTACAAATTGTTCATTCATGTGTCACTGGAGTGCCCTTTCCCGCGATTGCATGCAACGAAAAAATTTTCTTTTTTCCCATCAAATTTTTTTCTTTTATTAGAAATAATTTCTACGAGATGGTATAGCAAATAAAATCGTATAGTATTTTCATCGGATCATTTTTTTTTTCTTTTCTTTTCTTTTCTTTTCTTTTCTTTTTTTTCTTATTCTTTTACGATCTCCTTGTAAATGATTATATTAAATATATAAAACTGTATATTTAATAAGTATATATAAATATGTATGTGTGTGTATATATATATATATATAGTGGCTTTATTTTTTAATTTTTTGTTTATATAACTCATTTATATAAATAATATATATATATACTTACTTATTTCCTATGTATTATGGCTATATACTTATACAGACTGAGGTAATAGCTTTGATCACCTTGAATACTTCCGTTCTTTCTTGAAATACGGAGAAACTTTATTCACAAAAGTCGTATTGTACAAAGGGGACCATAATACGGCAGTAATCATTTTTTTTTTATAGATGGATGCATAAAAGATGAAATTCAACTGTGTTTTCTTCTTTTTTTTTTTTTTTTTAAATGCCTTCATATGTTTTTGATTACATTGATCTATGTAGCTCCGACATTCTTTATAGTATGTCAAAAAATTATTAGTTTTGTAGATATTTTAATTGAAATATTGTTAAAAAAATAACGATACGATTAAAATATAGTAAGGATAGTAATAAATAAATAATAATAGTAAGAGAGTGATGGTTTCTTAGCGCAAATAAATGCATAGTAAACAATCGCTTATTAATTATTTAATAATTTATGTAATATTATAAACAAGTCGCAATTTGAATAATTTTTTTGACAAAATAAGATAAATTCAGTTCATAAGAATTTGTTTATAAAAATTGTTGTTTCTAATAAATTATTAATTAATTATTTAACATATGTTGAAAAAAATTAGATCAAATTTTGCCTTTTAAAATGATATTTGATTCAAGTCTCTATCATTTTTAGTTCCGGAAATATTCCCATGTAAAAAAAGATATAGCTATTTAATAATGTAAATAAAACAAAATTATTTCTTTGATAAGAAAATAATTTGTTTATTAAGTATTTATTAATGTATGTAAATTTATAAATCAGAGTTGTAATCTAAATTCTTCTTTTTAGCAAAATACTATAAATCAAATTTATATGAATTTGTTTATAACAAATTATTTATAACAAATTGTTAATTAATAATTAACAATACGTCAGAAAAATGGAGATAATTATGCCATTTAAAATGGTATTTGATTCAAGTCTCTATGATTTTCAATTTCGAAGATAATCCCATAAAATTGAAGACACTTACGTTGGCCTACTGATCCTCATTATTTCATTCAATTTAACTTGGTGTTACATTGACCTATATAAATTCCAAGAATTTACGGGTTTATGATTACGAACAGCTGTACTATACCAATTATGAATGAAAATCTTTCAAAAGCGATATCTCCGAAACGTAGAATGGTATACACTTGAAATAAACATTGTTTTCAAGCGTAATTTATCCTTTACTTATTTAATTATTGCAATAATATTGATATAATAAAATCGATTTTGTTGATAATTTTTTTAATTGAATTTTTTTCTATTCTCATAAAATTGTAATGTAAGAAAAAAGAAATTTTTTTCTTTTTTTTTTTTTTTTTTTTTTTATAAGAACATAACTATAATAAACTCTTGAAAATTTTTATTGTTATTATATAAATTTTACTTTTTCTTATTTAAAATATGAAGTAAAAAATTTATTAATAGTTGTCAATGTACAATATGGAAAGATCAAAAACTCAAAAGACTTTTCTTTCGTAATATAGATGTAACTGTGAAATATCTTTTAAAATAATAATTTTTAAACATACATGGATTAACATATTTTTTATAGAGAATATCAAGCTTCATCAACTAATAAAATTAAATATATTATGATTATGTTTAAAAAAAAAACTTAGTTGAATTACACTTAGTCAACTTATAAAAAAATTATTACTGCCGCATTATAATTCCTCCCGTATCGTATGATTTTTGTAAATAAAGTTTCTCCATATCTCTAAATAGAACTAAATCTCTAAATAGAACTAATCAAAGTAATTGTTCTATATAGTTATATATAAAGTATACTAACTCATAAAATATTTTTTATGACAAGAATAAATAAAAATCGAGAAGATAGAAATAACAAAAAATAAAGGATAGGAACATACATATAAAAATAATGAAATACCTTGTATATTATAAAAATAAATAAATAAATGAATAAAAGGACAAGAAAAAAAAAATTGATTTATGAATTCATCGTTTATTAGAGTAATTTGGTTGAGAAAATTGTTCGTATTATTGCGATTACACAGCTTGTTAAACTTCAATGCACCGTAATTCAATGAAATGTCGATGTAAAGGTACACTGTAGATGCTTGTTGGATTCCTATTGATATCCTCTATCCGTGTTTATTAGACTAAAAATATCGATTTCCGTTGATACAACAAAAATTATTATGACTTCCGTATCTTGACAACGGTGTTCACTGTGAAATAACTCCAATAAATATTAAATTTCCTCCTCGAAACATAGTAACATTAATTTGAAGCATTCGTTCATAAAAATCGATAAGATCGACGATATTGGATCGTATTATTTAAAAATGAGACTTATTATATGATATATCGACTAATAAAAAAGAAATATATATATATATATATATATATTTTTTTTTTTCACGACAATAAAAATGAATAAAAATACTGAAATTGAGAAGAATAAAAGGATAGATAAAAACTCGTAAAGTTTAGATTATTATCGTGCGTTAGAGTACGTTTATAAACGTAAATAAGATTATAGTGAGATAGTGAGTTTGAAAAGAAAGAGAATCACATACACACACACACATAGAGAGAGAGAGATAGAGATAGATAGTAGATAGATAGATAGATAGAGAGAGAGAGAGAGAGAGAGAGAGATTTTACACTCTTCGAAGTGTAGAAAAGTTAACGATATATCGCAAGCAATGTTGAAATTGTATTGTATGAAACTTACTTCTTACTTTGTGTACCGGAGATAAAGTTTCTTATACCGTCTTCGTATATATTGTCGCCCTATGGTAGGAACAAGCAAAAGCCTTTCCTACGAAGAGAGAGTTTATGTTGAAACATTTTCTCTTCCTTAGATACAAGCTCTCTTCGTGACAACTCATCGTCGAATGTGTAAAAGAAGCTTGTAAGATCGATGTTCCTCCGTCGAATCTGTCCTTGAAATTAATTGCTTTCGCTTTTCAAGCTTTTAGGGATAACGTATAACTTTGTTGTTATCTATGTAGTATATAAATATATACATATATGTATATATACAAACATTCGACCTTGAAATGAATATTTCTACGTAAATATTCATTTACTCTCTGAAACGATTAGTTTAATTATCGTTTAGCTTTGCCATTGCTAACATATTTCAACTGTTAAACGATTAATATTATCTTATCTTTTGTACGCTAAGCCACGGTTATTTATTTAAATTTTGTTTCCTTCAAATTTTTTTTATAATGAAGCGAAATAGTATTATTTTCTTTTTTACTTTATTTATAATGATGAAATTTTTTAAATTAAAGTTAACTAAATTTATTAATATTATATATATATATATATATATATATATATATATATATAAAATTATATAATATGTATTATAATAATGTTTTAACGATATATTTTAATAATAGTTTAATACAAAATAATATTTTTTCTCTTTTTTCTTTTAGTCATAAATAAAATTTTATATACATATATACGTATATATATATATATATATATATATATATATATATATATATATACACTCATATACAGTATCAGAATTCATAAACACATTTAAGCACACACACATACACTACATACGAAATTGGTATACATAATTCAAATATTTATAGTAATTTTACACTATCCTTCTATCTATCCTTCCTTTTTTAGTTTTACATTATTTCGTGTCATTTTAATTTCTTTTTATCGTAGAAAGAATTTTATACGAGTATATACGTAGATACATATGTGTACGTTATATCTCATAAAGAAGAAGTATATAAAATATTGTACATGGAATATTTTCTTATACATTTTAAGCTAATATACTTCCTTTTACTATTACGTTCTTCATTTTAATTCGTTTTTGTCATAAAAGTAATTTTATTCGAGAATATATGTGAAAGTCATATCATAGCTTATACAAAAAAAGTATATATATTGTACACACATGTGTGTACGGGCGTGTGTGTGTGTGTGTGTGTGTGTATATACAAGATGGGCCAAAATACCTAAGGAGATTTTCGAAATCAATTATCTATTCTTTTTCTAGACTTTTTGGACAGATTTCCTTTCCTTTTTCAAATTGTAAAACCAGAAGCATAGGAACATTTTTTAAGATTTGGAAACAAGAAAAAATTTAACCAAAAGAGTTCACAATTTTTATAATCCGATAGAAACTTTTTAAACCACATCATATATCGTATTTATACAAATTTTTAAACTATATAATTCTACCATTTTTATTTCAATTCGTTTTCAATATAAAAGAAATTTTTGTATCAATCAATAAATATATCATAATTCATATGAAAAAAATGCATTGTGTCCGTATATATAAGTATAATACGAATATTTCAAGGAAAGTTTCGCGTTGTATAAAATTGTATGTATCTATCAATACATATGTGTCTCGGTAAACAGTCTAGGTCACGTCGTTCATAAAACGACCCATAAGCATTAGTAAACATTCGTTTGTACTTATGACATAGAAAAAGGTCAAAGCTCTTCACTTCTGGTTAAATGTTCGTCTTGTTAAGACGTACATATATATATATATATATATACGTATAAATTATTATCTTGAAATAGAAAGTTATAGAATAATTTTTTAATGGATTAATTTAATAGAACAATTGTTTAATGGAATAATTTTTTAATAGATTAATGAAATAATTGTTTAATAGAATAAATATTTTCAATATCGTTATAACATATATATATATATATATCTCGTTATAACATTCCTAATTTTCAATGAGGGAATTATTGAACGTAAGAAAGAAGAAGAAAGAAAAACAAATAAACGTACGCTGGACGTAAGCAACGTTAAATTTTACGAGTAAGTTTTTATCTTTCATTTAGTTCTATATTCTTCTTTTTAATTTGTTTTCATCGTAAAACAAATTTCATGAGTAAGTATATATACCTACGCATATACATACATACACATATATATATATATATATATATAGACACACACGTACACACATATATATGCGTGTGTATCATAGTCTTTAAGAAATAAACTTATATGCTGCAAGATATGAAAATTTATGTGCACAGTTTGTATAATAATTCAATATCAATAATTGTATAATATATATGTTTGGATGTATATATTATATATATATATATATAATATTGTATATATATACAATATTGTATAAAATTTAATTGGTATATAGATTGAGAATAATTGTAAATAATAAGAACCAACGAAGTTAGAAAATCATTAAGTATCAGTATTAATCAATGATCATTAGTCTGATAAAAAAAAAACTAGGTTAGCCGAATATTAGAAAGATTAGATCTAACTTACACCAACTTGAAGATTAACGACGTAAGAGTACAAACGATGGTAGTATTTTATATATATATATATATATCATCACGAAGAAGATTTTATATATTAATTACGACCCAGATATTTTATATGCGTACGTACACATTTATATATGTATATAATATAAGAATTTATAAAATTTAATTGAAATATAAAACATGAGAGTAATCATTAAATAACAAGCGATCAATGAAATTAAAAGATCTTTAAATATCGGCATTATACAAGGACTGAAAAAGAAAAAAAGAAAAAAAAAAAAAGAAAAGAAAATAAGAAAGAAGATAAGGAAAAAAAAGAGAAATTCGTTTGGCCCAAAATTAGATAGATTAGATCTAACGCACGCTAAGTATTGACGAAAACAAACAAAAAAGAACAAAAAGAAAAAAAAAATCTGATCTTTCGATCTCGGAATCGATTACGTTCGATGACGTAGTCAGAATTTCCTTTCGAACAAATCATCCCTCACCCTCAACTTCATTCCCTTTCCCCTTTTACATCCCATTAATTTATTTTCGTTTTGCGGTCGAAGAGAAGTTATCAAACGTGTTTCAGTAGTTAGCTATCTTTTAGTTGAACCATCGGAATGTAAATTTGCGAGTGGCACGTCTATTCTAAAATGAGTTTGCTACCCTTTACTTTCTACCTCATTTTACATATAACACTTTTTCTTATAGTCCTCTTTCTTTCCTTCTTTCTTACTTTCTTACTTTCTTTCTTTCTCTCTATCTCTTTCTACGTCTAACAAATTTTCTCATAATCTTCTTGTTCTCTCTCTCTCTCTCTCTCTCTCTCTCTTTCTCTTTTTGTCTGTCTCTCTTCTTCTTATTCCTTAAGGATATACTTAAACAACTCGAGTGGAAAAAAGGAAGGGTGCATACTGGTAGTGTCTTAGAAGAAACGGGGACGCATAATCTTAGTATTTCTACATTCACCAAGAGACTCTGTTCTTTGTGTTCTTAGTTTCTAGCTTGGCTTCAGTACTGAGACAGCTGTGAGAATGAATAAAAATCGAGCATTGGTTAGAAACGTTCACTCTAAGAGTTCTTTATTTATTCAATTTTCTTTTTTCATTTTGTTTCGTTTTCTTTTCTCTCGCTTTCACTCATTTCTCTTTTTCGTCTTTCTTTTCCTCCAATTCTTTTCTTTTTTCTTTTTTTTCTTTTTTCAATTTACTTGAGATAACGCTGTTCAGAGTTATTACTATTTTTAATCGATCATTCTTTTTTTGTTTTTTACTTTGGATAATTTAATTTAATTCAGTTATTATTAATTATTATAATTAATCATTTTTCTCTTGTTTAATTAGATTATTTAGATATTTAAGAGTAATCCTATTCTATTCTATTAAACTTAATCTAGTTTGATTTATTATTATTGAATTTTATTATTAATTTTTAATTAATCATTTTATTTATTCAGATTATTTAGATATATAGGAGAGTGAGAGAGAGAGAGAGAGAGAGAGAGAGAGAGAGAGAGAGAGAGATAGCAGTCCCATTTTTATTTTATATTTCATTTTATAATTAATATGATTTTTCGACAATTTATTATTATTTTTTAATTGATCATTTAATTTATTCGGATTAGAAAGATATTTAAGAGATAGTTCTATTTTTGTTTACTTGTTTATTTTAAATAATTTCGTTTGATTTAATTATTACTAAATTTTAATACAATAAATGTTATTTCTTTAAATTATTGAAAAATTTAAATTTAAATACTCGAAAATACAAGTTTAGAAAGAAAATACAATGTAAAACGATATTATTTTTAATATCCCAAGATATTAATTCATTAAATTGAATCTATCGTGTTTTAATGCGAGAAAACGTTTTATTTAGATCTCTCTCGGATAAGATATAAATGATTTTATCATAAAGGAAATGAAATTGGCATAACGCATTACGATATTCATCGAACTTTGTACGATCGTCTTAACGATAGACATACATATATACATATATAAGTTTTATTTAAAAACTTCTATGACTATAAAAAAAAAAAAGATGTTTACATTTCTGCACCTTTCTGTTTTCTCAACGTAAACGTCGAGATTTCAAGTTTAATAAGAATAAAACTGTACCGTTTGAAGAAGTAAAAGCATGGAATGTTGTAACCTGTCTTTTACCGAGTTAAAAAGCGAAGCAATTTGAAATTCTTGGTACCACCAGAGAATCCACGACAATCCCGTAATGTTATATAGAAAAAGAATAAGAGAAAAAAAAAAGAAAAGAAAAGAGAACAAAAGAAAAAAGAAAATGATTGAAAGTTATGGAAGTTAATTCGAATATAATGAAAAATGAGTACGAAGAAAGCAATAAAAGTTACTCCAATAGCATCTTACATGGGACTAAAATAACGTGGCCGAATAAATAAGGAAGAAATTTTTTAATACCCTCATCCTTATATATGTGTATATTCAACCAAACGAACGACGTGTTCGGGCTTTCTAATTATTTTTCCTTTAAGTATATTATATGAGTAAAGTAAGATAATGAACGAAATTATATCCGAACTACGACATTATTACTGTATTATTCTTATGATTTAAATTTAGAACGTTTTGTATAAAGATCTGTTTTATTATTATTATTATTATTATTGTTATTATTATTATTATTATTATTATTATTATTATTATTGTTATTATTAT